GGCTCTGAACCTGCAGTCGGTGTATATTTGTGTGTGTGTGTGTATACATACGTATTATAATATATAATATGTTTTATATAATATATAATTAAATTATTTATTATATATACCTATCATTATTAGCAAATTAAATAAAAAGAAAATAAGTACAAATTTCACAAGTGGGTTGACCTAAATATAATGATTTCCAGTATAGGTAAAATGCTCTGTATACATTGCAGTGAACTCCCCAGGCAATCCAGAGTCTACAGAAATACTGGAATTTTGCTATACCAAATGTTAGCTTTATCTTTTTTTAAAGATTTATTTATTTAGTTGAGAGAGAGTGAGAGCGAGAGAGAGTGCGAGTGGGGGGAGGGCAGAGGAAGAGAAACTCAAGCAGACTCCATGCTGAGTGTGGAACTAAGCAGGGCTCGGTCCCACGACTCTGAGATCATGACGTGAGCGGAAACCAAGAGTCTGTCCTTCAACAGACTGAGCCACCCAGACGCCCGTCAAATATGGCTTTAAATAAATAACCTGGAACATAACTTTTTTTGGTTTTGGTAAAGGTGACTTTTGTTGAGTAATTGATCTAAAAAATTGATACAACCCCACAAACAAAAAACATACACATAGGGGCACCTGGGTGGCTCAGTTGGTTAAGTGTTTGCCTTTGACTAGGATCATGACCTTTGGGTCCTGAGATTGAGCCCTGCATTCTTGTCTTCAGGCTCCACATTTAGTGGGGAGTCTGCTTCTCCCTCTGCCCCTCCTCCCTGGTCCTGCACTCTCTCTTTCTCTCAGATGAATAAGTAGAATCTTAAAAAAAAAAACAACTAAAAAATACACACAGTAGATTTTTTCCGTAATTAGTCATAAAAGATAGATATCACGTCAGATATTTGTAGTTATAAAGTTTATTAGTCTGTCCAAATTTTTTACAACCCTATAAATATTTTAACAGACCTTTCTATAATTAAATTGGCACCACAGCAAATGCGCACCGAATTACTGAGATGATAAAGTGAATGTTGTTAGTTTTACCTTCTAAACTGAGTTTTCTGTCCTGGTTGATAAAGTGTTTAAAAGTTTGTATATAAATTCATCAGTGTCTATGAAAATAAACAAATCAAATTTGAAGTCAAACAAATCATGAAGACTACAAGGATTTTATTTTATTATTTATTTATTTGAGAGAGCGAGCACCAGCAGGGGGAGAGGGGCAGAGCGAGAGGGAGAAGCAGACTCCTTGCTGAGCAGGGAGCACGATGTGGGACTCGATCCTAGGACCCTGGGATCATGATGTGAACCAAAGGCAGACACAACCGACTAAGCCACCCAGGCATGCCAACTACAAGTATTTTAAAGGTCTATTTCTACCTCTGCTATTTTACCATTTTCTACTGTGAGTGTAGTTTCTTGCTGTTCATTTTTTGTGAATTTGTTTGTTTGTTTGTGGATATTTCTTTTCAAATCAGGGCCCTCTTTTGGTACTGAGTTCCTAAACTGAAAAAAAAAAATTAAAAATTAAAATAAAAAATAAACAACAACAAAAACTCAGAAATTTATTTTGGGCTTCATCATAATAGAAAATAAAGTATTATGCAGTATATTTAATTGATATGCCAAAAGAATTATGGCCTTAATACAAAAATTGAACTGCTAAAAGGTTAAGATTAATCCTGTGTTGGAGAAGATAATTTGGATCTTTGTATTCTTATAGTTTTAAATGTGAAGATATTTTAAAAAGTAAAATAAAATCTAAGGAATAAAAATATACTGAAGATCTAATAAATCAGAGCAATTTACAATTGGGCCTTTGATACTAACAAAAGTAGAAATAAATTTGAATGGTGTTCAAATCACTTTTGCAATGCCTTTAGTAATTCCTAAATTTTTTTTTATATTCTGCTCATGACATAAACGTGAACATGTTCAAAATAAATAATAAATATAGAATACACTTTTCAGCACATTGAAAACAAAATATTCTGAGCATCAACAGTGAGTGAAATCAGTTTAAGAGGTAAGAAATACCTTGACAACATGTTTTGATGGTTCAGACATTTAAAAATATAACATACTGGGTTATTCCAGAGTGTTAAATATCTAATTTATTGGGTACTAATTGACTCCTTTTTCCTTGACACATAATACATAATTTTGGTACCATTTTATCTTCATACATTAAGCATAAAATAAACTCACCAATTTCTGAAAATTTTTTAAGTACAGTCTATCTAGTCTAAGTGCATAGTAAGAATATCTGTAAGTATCAAGTCATACTTGTAGTTTGCCCAATAGGAGAAAAATAATTTTTCATTTCAGAAGATTTTTTGGTATAATCCACTGTCCTGGATGGTGAGTGAACTTTAGGTCATCTACAGGGAAATCTGTGAATATGACAATTGTGTGCAAATTTTTATGCAAAGGTGTTTTTTCTGGAGAGATAATTCATGACTCTCATTCAGTAATGAGAAGGACTATGTATTAGACAAAGATGCAATAAAGAGGTTATTCTGCCAGAGTAGATACCACTTTATGTATATTTTTTAAATATTTGTTATGAATTTATTCAACAAATATGTATTGACCACCTAGTCTTTTGTACCTCACTAGCCCTCCCCCCAAAATTAATTAAATGAAATTTAAAAAGATAAAAACTGCATTTCTTGCCTTCAAGAGTGGTATAGTCCAGTCAGGATATTGTCAAGTAAATGAATGTATATAGCAAAATAATTGTTAATTTTGAGGTTTGTATACAACACTTTGATCTGACAAATGAAATTGCATTTAAGCACAAATTTTAAGAAGAGCTTTAGTCTTTAAAGCTTTTAATCATCTCAGTAACAGAAGGATGAAAGGTTTGTGGCAGATGGATCAGGCATAAGGATACTTCCAGGCAGAGGAATTAGTGAGTGTAGAAATAGAGAAGACTCAATAGGCCTGGTGTGTTCAGAGAACTAGAACAGAGAATTCTTCTTATTAGAGCTCCCAGTTTGAGGCATGAAATGGAAGAAGGTGAAGCTGGGCTTGTAGGTAGAGCACAGATCCCTTAGAGCCCCTCATCCAAGAAGAAAACAGAGATTTTTAATTTCAGCCTGTATCAGAAGTTCCCAAAGTCCAAAATCACAGTTCTATGAAGATATTGATCTTTTCAGTCCTAAGGTGATAGACTGGGAATCAGCGTCTCCTGAGAACAAGGACTGGTTCCCTAAGGCTATGAGTAACTGTATAGTCTCATGTGGCACATAAATATAATGTTCTTAGTGTTTTGTAATGTGTAAAAAAATTGGGAACTGCTGAGTATGAAGGAGATTCACTGTGAAAATAATGTTGAGCTGAAAGTTATTGGACATTTTCTGTCTCTTGATTGATACATATTTTACTGTATCATTAAGTAGTGACTATATTTTATATACTACTTATTTTACTTTAAAAAATTTTTTAAAGATTTATTTATTATTTATTTATTTATTTATTTATTTATTTATTTGTCAGACAGAGACACAGTGAGAAGGGAACACAAGCAGGGGGAGGGGCAGAGGGAGAGGCAGGCTTCCCGTGGAGCAGGGAGCCAGATGCAGGACTCGACCCCAGTACGCTGGGATCATGACCTGAGCAAAGGCAGACGCTTAACCGACTGAGCTACCCAGATGTCCCTATACTACTTACTTTACTTAAATCAATATATGGAAATGTAATGGCTATTCTTTTGGGTGGGATTTCTCTTCTTTTCAGCTGCCTCCAAATTTTATCTATTACAATGTCATCACACAAACACAAAGGAGAGATTTTAAAATAAAAAAAAATATAATGCAGATTTTCACTTCTTAAGCAATAGATGTTTCCTTGTACTTCAGTCATTTCTTGTTATCATATTTTCACTATGGTTTTAATTTCAGCATACAATGTTTTATTTTTTAAAAAAAAACCTATGTTTTAAATTTTGATGTAATTTTAGAATCACATACAGTTGTAAGAAATAATCTTATAAGAGGGATCTCATGTACACTTCACAATGTTTTCCCTCAATGGTAACATATTGCAAAAACTGTAGTATAATATCATAATCAAGATACTGACATTGTTACAATTCACCAGTATTATTCAGATTTCTCCAGTTTTACTTGCACTCGTATGTGTGTGTACATGTATGTGGATTTAGGTCTATTCAATTTTATCACCTGTGCAGGTTCATGTAGCCACCACCATAGCAAGATACTGAACACCTTTAAGATCCCTTGGGTTGTCCAGTTAGAACCACACTCATTTCCCTCCCACACCTCTGCCTTCCCCAGCCACCACCAATCCTAGTTGGTACCTCTGAGAATCACTAATCTTTCCTCTATTTCTCATATTATGTCATTTCAAAAATGCTATAGAAATAAAAATTATATCCTATGTATCCATTTGGGATTGCTTTTCCACTCAGCGTAATTTCCTGCTGATTTGTCCAAGTTTTTGCATGTAGTAAGTTTGTTAATTTCTATTGTGGAGTAGTATTTCATGATATAGATGGACCACAGTTTGTTAAAGCTTCCCCAGCTGAAGAACATCTGTGCTGATCTAGATTTTTGCTATTACAATTAAAGTGCTAAGTGAAAATCCATGTACAAATTACTGTGTGAGTATAACTTTTCATTTCTCTGGAATAAATGCCCGTAGAGTGCAATTGCAGGGCTATATGTTAGTTTCATGTTAGTTTTTAAAGAAACTGCAAAAATGTTTCCAAAGTGACTGTACCATTATAATTCCTACCAGCAACGTATGAATGATCCAGTTTCATGACATCCTCACCAGTGTTTAGCGTTATCACTATTTTTAAGTATAGCTATTCTGATAGGTGCTTAGTTACATCTCATTATTTTTTGTTGTGGTTCAGTTTGGGTTTTGGTTTTTTGCTTGTTTGTTTGTGAGGAATTAAGGGCTTGAAGCTGGAATGGCCCTCAATTGGGTAAGTTACTTTGCTTATTGGATCCTCAATTTTTCCATCTGTAAGCATTAGAAAAAGAAAACAAAATATAGAACATTTCACAAATTTGTGTATCTTCCTTGTGCAGAAGCCATGCTAATCTCCTCTGTATCATTCCAATTTTACTATATATGCTGCTAAAGCAAGAACTTTCATTGTAGTTTAAATTTGCATTTCCCTAACAGCTAATGATGTGGAATAACTTTTCATTTGTTTATACAACATCTGTATATCCTCTTAGGTGAAATGTTCATCTCTTTTGCTTCTTTTCTAATTGGATTGTCTCTGTTTGTCTTCTTTGATTTCTTTCAATGGCTTTTTGTAGTAAGTTTCTGTGTATAGATCCTAAACAATGTTTTATTTTATTTTATTTGCATTGATTGTTAATGGTATTGTGTGTTTAATTTTGGTGTCCTTGGGCTCATTGTTATATAGTAATGCGATTGATTTTTGTGTGTTGATCTTGTATTCTGCAATCTTGCCAAACTCACATATTAATTCTAGGAACTTTTTTATAGATGTCTTGGGTTTTCTGCAAAGATAATCATGCCATCTGCAAATAAAGGAATTTTTACTTTATTTTTTTGTTTGGTCTATATGCCCTTTGTTTCTTTTTCTTTCCTTATTGCACTAGCTAGAACTTTCAGTACTATATTGAATGAGTGATGAGAATGAGTATTTTTGCATGGTTTGAATTCTTAAGGGGAAGTGTTCACTATTAAGTATGATGTTAGCTGTATAGTTATTGTATTTTTCTAAATCAGGTTGAGATAATTCCTTCTATTCTTACCTTGCTGGGGGTTTCTACTGTGAATTGGTGTTGGATTTTATCAAATACTTTTTTCTGTGGCAGTTGATATGATCATATGATTTGTCTTCTAGCCTGTTGATATGGTGGATTGCTCTGATTGAATTTCAAATGTTGAACCAGGCTTGCATACCTGGAATAAAACTCATCTGGTCATGCTATCTAGTTCTTTTTAATACATTGTTGGATTCAGTGTACTAATATTTTGTCAATAATGTTTGTTTTTAAGTTCATGGCAGATATTGACCTGCAGTTTCTTTCTTTCTTTCTTTCTTTCTTTCTTTCTTTCTTTTTTTTGAATTATCTTTGTACTAGTCAGTATCAGGGTAGTACTACCTTCATAAAATGAGTTTGGAAGTATTTCTTCCCCTTTCATTGTCTAGAAGAGGTTGTATAAAGTCATGAATTCCTCCATAAGTAATTTGATAGAATTCTCCAGTGAAACCAGCTGGGCCTAGAGATTTCTTTTTCAGGAGATTTTTAATTAAAAGTTCAATTTCTTTAATGATTATAGGACTATTCAAATTACAGTTTCATATTAGGTAAATTTAGTTTATGGTTTTTGAGGAATTGGTCTCTTTTTTTTAAGATTTTATTTATTTATTTGACAGAGAGAGAATGGAAGAGAGAGAGAGAGCACATGAGAAGGGGGAGGGTCAAAGGGAGAAGCAGACTTTCTGCTGAGCAGGGAGCACAATGCAGGACTTGATCTCGGGACTCCAGGATCATGACCTGAGCCGAAGGCAGTCACTTAACCAAATGAGCCACCCAGGTGCCCTGGTCTCTCTCTTTTAAGTTGTCAAATTTATAAGTAAAAAGGTGTTCATTCCATTTCCTTATTATCCTTTTCAAGGCTGTCAGATCTTTGGTGATATTTTCCATTTCATGCCTGGTATTGGTAATTTGCATCTTCTCTCTTCATTTCTGTCACACTAGCTAGAGGCTTATCAGTTGTACTGATTTTTCAAAGAATCATATTTTTGTCTCATTGATTTTCTCTGTTGTTTTTCTGTTTACATTTTATTGATTTCTGCTTTCATCTTTATTTTATTCTCTTTGCTTTGAATTTATCTTGCTCTTCTATTTCCAGTTTCTTGAGGTAGGATTTTTAATTTGAGATAGCTCCTCTTTTTTGGTGTAAGCATTTATTGTTACAAACTTACCTCTCAACACCACTTTAACTATATCCCTCTTATTTTTATATGTTATATTTTCATTTTCATTCAGTTCTATATATTATGTAACTACTTTAAGACTTCTTTGGCTCCTGAATTTTTAGAAGTGTGTTGTTAAATTTCCTAGTGTGTAAGATATTTTCTTGCTATCTTTGTTATTAATTTCTAATTTCTTAAAAGCATACAATTTATTATTTAAATTCTTCTAAGTTTGTTGAGGTTTGTGTGATGGCCCAGGATATGATATATCTGGGTAAATATTCCATAGGCACTTGAAAAATGAATGTAGTATATTCTGATGTTTTAAAGTGGAGTGTTCAAACATGGTCTATTAGATTCTGTTGGTTAATGATGTTATCTAGCTCTTGTAAACACTTGTTGATTTTCTGTCTAGCAGTCATATCAGACTGAGAGGGAGGTGTTTATGTCCTCAACTACCATTACAGATTTGTTTGTTTTTCTTTCAACTCTTATTGGTATTTGCTTAATGTCTTTTGAGGCTCTGCTTTTTGGTACTAGTTTAGGATTATTCTGTCTTCTTGGTGGATTTGTCTTTCACATCATGCAGTGTCTTTCTTTGTCTCTAATAATTTTCTTTCTCTGAAGTCTACTTTATCTGATATAAATATACCCACTCCTTTTTTAAAACCAATGTTTGTGTGGTATATCTCTTTTCATCCTTTTACTTTCAACCTAACTATGTTATTCAATTTGATGTGGTTTTTTTTTAAACAATATATAGTTGGATTGTGTTTCTTTTTCTCCATCCTTCTAATCTCTGCTTTTTGATTGTTATATTTAGATCATTTACATTTATGGTAATTATTCATATGTTAGTGCATATAATATGGCCATTATTATATGTAAGCTTGTCGTTTATTATTTGTTTGCTGTTTATTCCATTTCTCATTTCCTATTTTTATTTTCTTTTGCCTTCCTGTGGATAACAAATATTTTTAGAAATTCCATCTTGATTTATTTATAGGGTTTTTGAGTATGCCTGTTTATATTGCTTTTTTAGTGTTTGCTCTGGGTCTTGGAATATGCATATGTCTTGTCGTAGTTACTTTTATCAATATTTTACCACTTCAAGTAAAATATTCAAATTTAGCTTCCATTTAGATCCTTCTATTTTCCCTACTTTTAAACATCATTTTCTTGAGTATTAGGTAGTGTTTTAATTTTTGTTTCAATCATCAAATAGGATTCATAAAACTCAAGAAAAGTACAATCAATTGTATGTACCCATATTTCTGCTTTTCTTCTGTTCTCTCTTCCCCCTTGATGTTCAGAAATTCCTTCCTTTATAATTTTCCTTCTGTTTGATGGACTTCCAATAACCAATTAAGAGTAGGTCTGTTAGCAAAGATTCTTTTCCTTTCCCAATATCTGAGAAAGTCTTTATTTCTCTTCATCCTGAAGTATAGTTTCACCAGATGTAGAATTCACAGTTGACAGTTCTTTCCTGTCAGCACTTGAAAATGATGTCCCACTTTGTCCCGGCCTCCATGGTTTGAGACAAAAAATTTACCACCATTTGAGTTGATCTTCCACTCTAGATAATCTGTCATTTCCCTCTGACTGATTTTAAGATTTTTTCTTTGCCTTTAGATATTACAAGTTTAATTATGATGTGCTGTAACATGGATGTTTTTGGGGTTAATCCTACTCAGGGTTTACTCAGCTTCTTGAATTCATAGGCTTATATCTTTCACCAAATTTGGGACATTTCAGCCATTATTTCTTTAAATGCTCTTTCAGCCCCAATGTCTTGTAACCTTTTAGGATTACAATGATACAAATGATGAATCTTTTATTATTTCCCCTCAGGTCCCTAAGGCTCCTTTTCTCCTTCTCTCTTTCTGTCATTTCTTTCTTTCTTCTACTCTATTTTCTCCCTGTTGTACAGAGTAGGCAAAGTCTGTCAATTGTCTTCAAACTCACTGATTCTGCCCTCTGTTATCTCTACTCTGCTGTTGACCCATCCAGCAAGTTTTCATTTTCATTATTGGATCTTTCAGTTATGTTATTTACATTTGGATCTTTTTATTACTTCTAGTTCTTTGCTGAGGTTTTCTATTTTTTGTTTGTTTGTTTCAAGAATATTTGTAAAGGCTTCTAGAAGAATTTTTAATATGACTGCATTAAAACCCTTGTCATACAATTCCAACATCTGATTAATTTGTGTTGGCACTATTTGATTGTCTTTTCTGATTCAAGTTAAAATATTCTGGTTCTTGTGATGATGAGTTATTTTCTATTGTATCCTGGACATTTTGGATATAATGTTAGGGGATTTTAGGTCCTATTTAAACATTTTATTATAGTATGCTGTCTTCCTGTTCAGGTTTAGCCTGCAGGTCCATGCTATTTTGCTGACTGTGATTCCAAAGGTAGTTTAATTTTCAGAGGTTTTATCTTATTAGTTTGGTCTGCTTAGTTTATTTGGTGAGACTGAGACCCCTTGCTGTCCTTTCCTGGTGTGGCAAAAGGAGTTTCCTCTTGCTGGGTCACCTGGTGCATCTAGGCAGGGAAAGGGAGTCTCTGGCCTATAAGGACCAAAAGCACATCCCAGGCCAGGCAGCTTGTTGTGGTAGAATGCCTGACCACTTGGTGTCACTCAGTATGGGGGGGTAATCTCCATCTCATGGAAAAGGAGAGCACTGACCCTGGTTGTCCATTACTAGCATGGCTCCAGATCAATTCCCCTTGACAGTGGTGGTGGGCTTACCTGGTTTTTGGCAGGATTCTTGTTTGATCCAAGAGAGAATGGGACTGCCTGGACCACTTTGTGTTGATAGTTTGGGCTCTGAGAAATGCTGGCCTCTGTTATTTTCTTCTGTTGGGTAGAGGGTAGTAAGATGCCCAGTCATTGCCCTATCCTGTTTCTCTCCTCCTGAGGTTCCTAACCAGTTTGACTTCTTTCCCATTTTTATAGTTTTCCTTTGGCTTCCTTTTGCATTTTTTCCAGGGCTTATAGATGTACTTAGCAGGTAAAAGCTGGATAAAATGAGTTTAAAAATCATGCCTTATTTTTCTTTAAAGAGATAATTTTGATAGTTGTATAGAGGTAAGGGGATTGTCAGTGAAATTAAGAACCAATAAATAACTATTGTAATAATCAAGGGTTAAGATGTGGTGAGACGTCTCACTGTAGATAAAA